TTATTTTTTGTATTTTTTGTTTTTTTCTTTAACAGTATATATGTGCATTATTTTCCCTTATTTTGTCTTAATTTTCGCGTATTGTCATCTTTGCTGCAAAGAAATGAACTAAACGCATAAATGCTAAGAAGCTGTTGGTTCAAGTGTATCGGCGTTGGCCTTGGAGTGGTCATGCTGCAATTTCGACTGTGATGTCGGAGTTCCCATATGGAGAAGAGAGTTGCTGGAAAGCATTATTGTAATTTGTAAGTCATGTGAGAAAAGGAAGAACGGCTGAAAAAAAAAGGATCCTGAATAATTATTTCCAAAGAAACAAGGAAGCCTTGAATCAGAGACTGGTATGTAAAGAAAAAACTAAGGTTTCCTGCACGTGGGACAGCAGACGTTGATTGGCTGGCAGGCCAAAGATGCATCAAGGCAATGTGAATGGTCTATATCCCAGTTCTACCAATCCCTGAAGAATTTTGAGAATGATGACGAACACGAAAACGAGAAAAATCAACTTACAACTGCTGAAATACAGCAAAAAGCACGACCCTAAAACCAATAGTTCAGCATAGTTTCTTGATTTTTTGGCAATGTAGACTTAAACGTAAGCATGAATGAATCATCACTTCCACCCCCGCAACTGACAAATTGGTGACTTAGGAAAATGGAAGGGCAGAAATTTGGAGACTTGGAAGAAAATGCATCAGAAACTTTGGCCTGGCACAGAGGTTCCTACGCTTCTTGAACCTACAGCTAAGAAGGGGGCTTCAGGAAGTTCAGCCGTCTTTGTGTCTTCCACCATCCCTACATCTCTGTTGATGTCCTCATTATGTGCGCACATTGCACAGCACCGAAGTTCACAGAAATATCGGTACGCAGCATCGGTTTTCTTGAACAACTTGTTGAAAACAGTGGTCCTAAGCGGTCAGTGGAAGATTATTTTGACCGTTGATGGCGAAGAAACACCTTTTCCAATCACACAAAGTGGAACCTTTCCATCAACCGTGTTGGCAGCAGCTGTTGCGGATGATGCAGCAGTGTTCAGAAAACTGAAGAAAGCTTGGAACCATGACGCTCAGGACAGGTGTCCACTTTTTGAAGATGTGTCCCACAGATTCCAAGGTCGTCAGTGAATTCTGAATGTAATATTTCCTACGTTTGACCACGGCAGGACCCAGAGAAATCTTGGGTGGCTGGAAGATGGGGTGACTTCATTGATGTGAGTTCTTGGATGGTATTTTGCCTGGACGTGAGCCTCAGCCGCCACAACCAGTTGGAGCTAACAATTCTTATTCATAAGTTTTGACTTGGTGTGAATTTAATTTACTTTAATAACATGTATTGTACTCAGGAATAGCCCCAAGCAAATCCGGGAATCTGGTATGCGACTACTTGCTCAAGCTGCAATTTTTTCTAGAAACTTGGACGCGCGCTTTGTTGGTCTCTCTGACTCTGACTGAGCTAGTTTCTGCCGCTGCTGTAGCACAGCCCAAACCCAATCATGAATTTGTTCGCCACTGCATCCAGGACAGGAATTTTGCAGACCTGGCTTCATTGTCTGCAAGGAAGACCAGGACACCCCTTCGCTTCAGGCGCCGTGTGAATGCCACTACACTCTGGTCAATTATCCGATGTGTGAAGGAGCATGTGGAATTTTGTCTCAATCAATACAACATATTTCTCATTCATTTTGTAACGTATCAGTCTCGCCAGTCTGTCTAGAGTCTAGTATGGTATAGGGTGGTCCTGCCAGCACTGACTAAGGAACATCTTCTGTCGGGTGCGTTCCGGAGATCAGAGTCCTTCAAGACAGCAAACAAAGCTACAGTCGCCAATTCAGTGAACCTAACTTCAGAGAGATATTGTGTTCCTTTGGCCAACAAATTCCCTAGTGGGTTGACTAGTCTTGCAATTGCAGCATTGCAAACCAATCAATCCCCAGTGAAACCAAGGCTGCCTATCTATGCGCGGCCCGTCGTGAATTTGGCCCTGAGGTTCATCGTCACGTCATCCCCTTGGTCGTCACTAGAATCTGGAAGTGCCAAACAAGTAAAACTCCAGAAGCAACACAATTCAAGTCTGAATTTAACAGAATTACATTACAATGGCACCTGAATTGATTGGTGTCAGGTCGCTTTTGATGGAACATCCATTGGCAAAGCGCCGTTGGAGGGCTATGCGTATCATTGCCACTTGAAGATAAACATATTCTTGCTGCACTACTGTCTGATTCCAAGACTTGTCTGTCATGATTCAAACCTGCAGGCCCAGAAATCAATTTGTCCTGCTACTCACCACCACAAGCATCTTGGCCCGTTCTGGTCCTGGTGCAGGGGGGGATGTGTGGCACTGGAAACCTGTGGGGGCCAAACAGTTGTCATTGTCATGGCGTGCCAAGACTCCTTTTCTTTTGCTAGCTACCACAGGCTCAATATTAAATTGGACTGACCTGCAGGGGAAAACACTAAAGTTAAAACGCAAAACTAAACAATGGCAAGTCAAGCATATTGTACGTTTGCTTCCCCGGGTTCAGAACCCGGCCTTCAGCGCATTGAGTGGGGAACGATGGCTGCCTCGCTTGACCTTTGGAGCAATGAAGTGGATAGCGACGATGGTTCAGGCTTCAATAGATCTGATGAAACTTCTTCTTGCCACAGGTCTCTTGCCCTGAGTGTTGAGAAAGAGGCCAGGTTTTGTAAAATCCTTTCATTGAATCTGTTGAGACTGGAAACAGCTAATTATATACGCTCGGAACGGAGTTTAGTTGACCTCTTAAATTAAATATACCCGTGATTCATGAGCCCTTTCAGGAGGAGTCTTGGGATCGCCTGTCACTTGCCTCCAACTCAATTGCTGTTGGATGGAGCCTGGCCAAGAAGACTATCCCAAACCTGGAGGCCAAGAAATACGAGTATCACAGATTGAAGGATGTTATTTTGCCTGGATGTCTCTCTGTTTATAATACTGGAGAAACTGACATGCTACCAAGACAAGTATTGTTACTAACCCCATTGTCTGACACTGACCGTTGGCAGGATTCATGGCTATTCCAAGCAAGAACGGCATTCTCTATGTGTTCTGGTGCTGGCACTGCAGAGTCAGCTAGGGCAGTGCTGCAGAAACTAGTTCACTCATATCCAATTTCTGGCTTAGAGATGGACATCAAGACAGTGGCTTTGTGGGAGTCTTTGGTGACAATTAAACATATTTCACTATAAAGCCTTCAAAACGTTTTCAGAGTATGTGCAGTGCAGCTGTCTGTCTCTGACTCCATCAACCGGCTTCCCATCACTATGCACTATGTACTCAGGAAAACGCTCCCAGCTGCAACCAGTTGCTCTTCGACAATCACCGGTGGTGCTGCCAGGTCACAGGCAAGGATCATGAAATGCCGCATTTCTTCAATGACATCCTGGAGTTGAACGTGCCGGGAACATTCAAACGCAGTGACACCTACATCCAGAAAAGGGCTAAGATCAGTCATGGAGATCTTGCAACCAGCCAACTTTGCAACACCCATACTCATGTGGTCACTGGTTCAGAACCAGGGAACCGATGCAGTATTCCATATGCAGATTTTGGGGTTTCTGGATTACCCTGCACTGATATGTCCCGTGCTGGTGCTCAATTAAAGCGGCATGGTGCAACCAACAGTGTATACATGACGCACGGAAAGTACACTGAATCCATGCGTGTGCCACTCTTTGTCATTGAATGCACACCAGATTATCAGATGAAATTCAACAAGCTTTAATTTGCCCTTAACTATAATAATAACGTAACGCAGGATTACTGTTTGCTTCCGTATTGAAGTTTTTGACAGCCGCAGACTAACTCACAGACTGAACTTTCAATAAGTAAGGAATTGGACATGGGTATGGTCGAGGAGTGCCATCCATCCTATGACCTGTGGCAGTTGATGTTTTCAACGGCTGATACTGGGCACGGAGGGGCAAAACGGGATCGTACCTACGTCATCGGAAGTCACGTGGACAAGACTTCTTGCCTGTATGACCCCTGGGAAATGAAAGACATTATTGCTGATCGAATGAGATCAAAGGTTCGGACTCTTCCATCAGATTACTTCCTGGCAGAGCAAGTCGAAGTTGACCGGGAAGCAATTCAATTGGCTGACCGACGCAAAGTTAGCATTGACCTGCGCAAACCTTCAAACAGGGCTGATCTGACCTTTTTGCTGAATTCCCGAGAGAAAGCAGCCCTGAATGATTACATGAACCTGTATGAACAGGAGTATGGCAAGCCAGCTCAGTCTGATCCTGACCTCATAGTTTTTTTGGGTGACAACCCAAAGCGTTGGCGGACGTGGAGTGCTAAGTCCAGGACTATTAGCACTTTTCGGCGTAATGTTAAAAGTTCACTTTTCTGGTCCCCACACTTGAAGAGGTTTATGGTTGCCAGAGAGAAATTAGCCGCACTTGCTTGGCCAGTCACACCATGTATGGCAAAGGCCATGTGTTGTGACATGGTTCCTGCGAGAGATATCTTTCGTGCCGCAGACTTGGCTGGGAATGGGATGCACTTCACTACAGTTGCCATTGCCCAATTGCTGGCACTGGCATGCTTTCGACCAATGGACTAATTGACAGTGTATCCCAATGACGTTTTGGACAGAGGACAGAGGCTGGTTGATTGATGTTTTTAGTTACAATAATCTTTTGAAATACTGCGGACGGACAGACTCATCGTCGAATCGCATCAGAAACACTGACCTAGAGTGTTGCGTAGTTTTGCTTGATGAACCCATAAAACTGGCCTCAGTAGATATTGTCAATGTAGCAAACCCATCAGCACAGACTTGGGAGAAAATGCGCACGTGTCAGGACTACATCAATAAGGCATCACGTGAATTGAACTTGCCTGCATAGTTTCACTCGACTCAGTCTGTCAGCAACTGCAACTGTGTTTTTTTCTGAAAGGGTTTTCGGATCAGTTGAGTGCCTGGGTAGGCTAGTCGGCTAGTGCACCAGTCAAAGATTTGAATCTTTGCTGTAATGGCCAAACTTCAGCTGAAGTATTCCAAAGGTGATGAAGGGGAATCTGACTCAGAGGACGGAAGTTACTCTGAGAATGCTTCCCAATCTGGTTCAGAGGAAGTAGAGTCTGAACCTGAGGAAACACCAAAAGGCAAGGCAGCTAAGAATAAGGCGGCAAAGGCGAAAGCAAAAGCTAAGCAGGAGAAAACAGCAAAGCCGGGCAAGGAGAAGGGTAAGGAGAAAGATACTGAGAAGGAGGAACCACAAAAGCCAGTCAAGAAGACAAAGAAAAAGAAAGAACCCAAGTCCAGGAAGTCATCCAAGGGAGACGACATGATTTTTCGCTACCAATCCTGGCGGCAGGTACCAGAATCTTGAGTTCAAGTTCTGTAAGACTGTTCCAGTTTCTTTGTGGTAAGGTTGATTCAGTTTAGTAGGCTGGGTTGAGATATTATTGTTACATTATATTTTATATTGCCCAAAAAACATACTCAGCAAATTTGCGACTAAGGAGTTCCACATCCGCGACTTCATGAGCACTGCAGAGCCTACGAAAGCTAGTTCCTTGCAGCTGGCCAAGTTGACATCAAGAGAGCTGCGGCGAGCGTTTTATGGATATTTCCGGCAGTTCCCTGGCAAGCGCCCAGACAGGACTCACCTGGCTAAAATACATGAAATTAGCGCCCTTGATTTGTTTTAGTGTTCAATTTAAGTCCAAACATATGCCTTATTTTCCCACAATGAACAAATGAATCACTGCATCCCCAGGAAGAAGAAGGGTGAAATCAGGGCCGACCTGATCTTGGAGTACACGAATTTGGGAAGGCCAGGCTCCAACAAGTCCTTGCAAGAAGTCATTGCTGATGTGGAGGCTGACATGAGCAAGAATCTTGACTTCACCTTGGAGAAACGTGGCAAGAACTTCATTTTGAAGTGTGGGAAGAACGAAGTTGCATTGGACCCCACCAAAGCTTGGAAGCAGCAGATATTCAAAGAGCCCAGCGGCATCCCATTTGTGTCAGACGGGAAGGTGTCTGAGCGCTGCGTGAACATTTTTCAAAAGCATGAAGAAGCGGAGGCAGCAGCAGAAGTTGAGGGCAAGCCAAAGGATGAGAAGGCTTCCAGCTCTAGTAAAGTCGAGCAGCGTCAGCACCAGGGACACCCGCGTCATTGGCAAGGTCATCAGCGCCAGCAACACCAACAGAACAAGAAGGCACAGTGTTTAAGTCCCAATATGATCACAATGCAAACAATCAGAGTCAAACACTGTTGATTTAATAATATGTGACATGTGTTTGAACCTATATTAAACGCAACGCTCTTGAATTGCCAATTCTACCCTGATGATGAGGCACTCCACGCAAGGAGCCTGTTTGTGGATGCAACTTTACCAGACAGGTTTGCAATGACTGCGGCAAGGGATGGATGACTGAACTTCAAGCAGGTCGTCCTTGCCTTCTTGGTGATTCAGTGTAAATTTAAAACATGAATATGTTTACTTAATTTTACTTATGTTGTTTCCCCTCCACTAATGATATGTCATGTTGATTAACCATGCCACTAAATTGGTGAGTGTGTCCAGCAAAATCAATAGGGTTGTCCAATGTGCTTAATATATGTTGAGAATCATTGAATTGTCAATTCAAGGTGATGGATCTGGGCCAGCTGCACCTGATACCCCCTCGCCTCCTGAAGCGCCTCCTTCAAGTGACGAAGATGAATGTGAAGTCGATCTCTCAGAGGTGAGGATTTCAGGGTGATGCGTGTTTCGGGTTTAATGGGTTTGAACGCCTTTATATATATTTTGGTTTAATATACATTGGTCACTGCACACACTCTCTGTCTCTGCGGACTATGCAGGATCATGTGGAGGGCTATACGCTGAACTACGTGTCCGATGGCAGAGTTTTTCTTCTATTCCATGGGTCAGACAAGCTTGAAGGCTCAGTGGTCACAGCCTGTCCTGATTGGAAGATCATCAAGCATTTGGGTGAGGGAAAGCACAAAGGTGATGTGTTTTTACATTCACCTTCAGCTGCAGCCAAGCCGCAGTGGATCAAGAAGCTCAAGTTCGAAGCAATCAAGGACGAGGACCACACGCTCATGCTGAGTGAGGCCAAAGCAAAGTTGAAGAAGGAAAAGGCGGATCAGAAGGCAGCAGAGGAAGCCAAGCTCAAACAGGAGGCGAAAGATGCAGAAGAGAAGGAGATTGCAGAGGCCCAGCAGAAAGCAAAGGATGCTGAGGAGGCAGCAAGGGTTGCAAAGAAGGCCGCTGAGGAGGTTGAGGCAAAGAAGAAGTTGAAGGAGGCAGAGGAAAAGCAGAAAAAAGATCTGGCACAGAAGGAAGAAGATGAAAGGAAGAAGCAGGCTGAAGCAGCAGCAGCAGCATCAGCAGATCAGGCAAAGAAGGAAGCAGAGGCGTTGCAGCAACAGCAGCAGGCGGCAGCAGCAGAGCAGGCAAAGAAGGATGCAGAGGCGAAGCAGCAGCTCCAGGCCGCCACAGCAGCAGCAGAACAGGCAAGGAAGGATGCAGAGGCGAAGCAACAGCAGCTTGAGAAGGAAAAGCAGGAAGCAAAGGAGAAAGCAGCAGCAGAAGCAAAAGAGCTCGAGGAAAAGAAGAAACTTGCAGAGGCAGAAGCAAAAGAGCTTGAGGAAAAGAAGAATCAGGCAGAGGCAGAAGCAAAAGAGCTCGAGGAAAAGAGGACACGGGCAGAGGCAGAAGCAAAGAAGGTCAAGGAGGACGCAGAGGAAGAGAAGAAGAAAATGCAGCAACAGATTCAACAATTGCAAGAAGCACTTCAAAAGAAGGCAGACCCCACAGAAAGGACAGCTGGGAATGAGAAGGGGAATGGTCCAATTCCGGAAGAATTAGGCACACAGAATGAGGTAGAGGAGATAGTCGAAGAGGTTGGTGCAGGTGAGAAGGGGGTGTCTTTGACTGCATCTCAAGTCACCAAACTGAGTCAAGAACAGAAAGCCAAAAGCGAAGAAGAAAAGAAGGCAAGGGAGTTTGAGATCATTTCGACCAACAGGGAGGAAGCAAAAAGACAAAAGACTTCCAAGCAGGCAGAAGGTGACATCCGCTCTTCCTTGAAGCGACCACCGCCGCCATAAGGACCGATGTATTCAGTTGTTGATCTAGTTGTCGACTGTTTTCCATCATTGTTCCTTATTGTCTACTGTCTTCTATATTTTTGGTGACTTAATTTAAACAATCTTTTCATAATTGTTTTATTTATCTATTTGTAATGTTTATATTTTTCTGAATTTTCCTTATTTGTTGACTAGTTTTTTCTTATTTGTCCTTAGGTGTTTTTTTCCTTAGGCTTTCCTTATTTGTAGATTATTTTCCTTATGTTTTCATTATTTGTCGACTATTTGTTTTATTAGTTTTCCTTGTGTTGACTAGTTTTCCTTATGTGTTGACGTGTTTTCCTTATTTTTCCTTCTTTGTCGACTATTTTTCCTTATGTTTTCCCTATTTGTC